ATGGAAACAAAGTCTTTGCAAATAGGGAAGGGTGGAGGGGGTGAAGGGAGGGCAAGGGAAGGGGAAAAAAAATAAGAACCAAGAGACTCATGTAATGGTAGAAGATCCCAATGATGAATGTAACTGTATTTTATACCTAAAATGTACCAATAAAGTTAATGGGGAAAAAAATGTAAACAGAGCTGTTCTGAATACATTTTTGGCAAAAGTTGGGCCTGTCACTGGAAGGCTATTGATAAAGGTCATGTTTTAAGTTTCTTATCTCTAATCTTTTTTTAAAACTCAGTTTTACAGAAATAATAAACTAAAGATAGTGAAGGTCAGATTAGGATTTTACCAGGATGGGACACAATGGAAAATCTTTCACCATTTGTAGAAATTAGGGGGAAAACATATAAGAAATAAGTAGAGGGCTGGGGATTTAGTTCAGTGGTCCTGAGTTTGATCCCCAGTACTAAAAAACAAAAAAATAAGTAGATTTAAGGATGATCAAAAATCGGATAAGCTAACTTTTGAAAAGTTAGCAGTAATACATCAACACACAAAGCCAGATGATTGAAAAGATAGGCCCAGGAGTTAGTCTAACTAGGTTTCAGTAATGGCTCCACCACTTACTAGCTGGGTGACCTTGGGTAAAATATTTTGCAGTTCTACCCAAGCTTTCTCATCTGCAGAAAGAGTAACTTTCTACTTCATAAATTAATACATGCAATTTAAAAAAAAGGTATCTGGCACAAAATAAACACTCATTCTTTTTCTCTGGTAATATTGGTAAAATGATTATTTTAGGAAAGAAGAGAACCCAAGGAAGGATTTGGTGCAGGTCCTCGTTAAGTATTACCTTGCCAAGAGCATAAGGCAATACTGCTAAAAGGAGCTGACACATAAAACTTTCGTGAAAGAACCCTGCTCTTTAGAGATTTTTCTGGTGATATCTATTAAGGAAGATACTAAGCAGTAATCACCCGCTTTATGTAGGAGTACTTCCCTTTCTTCAGGTACAATTTCAAGGTGAACACTAGTGTATAATCAAAAGATAAAAACTGGCAAAATTTACTTAAGGCCTTCAATAGAATGCTATTAAAATGTCCAAGGACATTTTCCATTTTCATTTTCCAAGGACAATCACAGAAAACAAAACAACACACTAGCTTATATAAAGCCACAGCTGAAATACTGTTGTAATTGAAAGACAAAATAAAGCTGGAGAAGGGCCAGAGAATGGCAGCTGGAATGACTTTAGGGACTTGAGAGGGGGTGAGTAGGGAACTTAGTGGGAAAGGGACGCACTGCGTACATGCACACAGAGCAGATGAGCAGGGCCGCTGTTCGTTAGGTTTTCAAATGCATGAACTCCAGGGTACTGCAGAGACCTTTAACACTGTAGACAGGGAATCTAGGGGCACGACAAAGGAAGCCCTCCTCTTGAAACATAGGGCAAACTGTGAAATTTGTGCAAAAAGAAATATGGGTAATAAGATGAATGAGATTTAAATGAGACATTTTCAACTTTAAAACCTACAGTAGCTGGTCTTTTTGGTAGTAATTCTCAACGCTAGACAAGACTGTATCAGAATGTAATGAGAGGTTATGAAATCTGAAAACCCTCTGAGTGAATCCGATATGTTTCTTCTTGACACCAGTGCCTCCCCAGATGAAGTGATTTAGACAAACTAATGA